GTTATATCGAAATATCAAAATGTTTTCAACAGTGCCAACCTAAGGGAATGTCTTGGGGCCTGAGAGCCTACCCAAGGGAGTACCTTAGGGCCTAAGAGCTTACCCAATGATGTACCATGGGGCCTTAGAGCCTACTTAAGGAAATGCCCTTGGGCCTTAGACTCTACCTAAGGAAATGCCTTGAGGCCTCAGTGTCTACCCAATGCCACCTTAGGTTTGTAAGGAATAACCATCTTGATCAGATTTGAACCTCTATACTACAAAATCCTACACAGACAATATCCCAATAATCAATTTATATAGTAAACAGTAGATTCCCATGATCCATAAATTAAGAACGATTATATTTTCCAGTGAAAACAGATAACTAGAGAGCACATATCATGTAACCATAGTTCATAAACAGTAAATCAATACATCAGTAAATCAGAATATCGAATAGTTAAAAGATTCATTAAATTAGTAACTTCGGTAAATCACATTTCAGAACAGATAAAATAATCATATAATACATAAGGAACACGAAACTTCTACAATTGATTGAATTTTAAAAAATGAGATCCTTATAAAAAGGGGTTTGATAGCTAGCAGATTCATCAATCATTCAGGAAGTGATTTATTAAGATCATAGTATTCAGATATATCAGCATGGTATTCAAGAATTATTGTATCAAAATTTATTTCGAATTCAGACATTCCTAAAGTGATTCCATCAATCAGGCTTATAAGGGCATTTTAGTCATTTAATTCTTGAGAATTTTGATAAATTAATTTTAATAAGGGTATGCAGCGATTTACAAAATTCCAGATTTCAAACATCTTAACAGGTTTTCAATTCCAATCGCACTATACAATTCCCAACAAAGGCGACACTTATCAATTATGTAAGTAGAGAAACTTCACGACTTTTCATTTCTTAAATCTGGTTGCACTGCAGAATCGAAGTGATCACATTCAGAACCATCTTTTGATGGATCATAAGGAGACAAACATGTATTTAAGCAACATTTATTTACTTTTCGTATTGTAATAGTATTAAGGATGATCGAACTACTTAGGTCGTACTCTAAAAACCTCATGGGTGTTACAATATTTATAGCTTCACCGGTATCTTCAAAAGTTATCCAAAGGCATTTACTTAATGCAAGTCATGAGGGTATTTAGACCATTCTGGTATTCGAGGTAGATTTATTCATTCTAGAGCTTAAGGGTATTCAATCATTCTAGGGCTTGGGGGTATTTTAAGTTATTTCACACTTTAGTGGTATTTTGGACATTTTACAGTACAAAGGTATTTCAGTCCATTCTTTTCATTTAGTCTTTCCATTTAATTCAAACTTGTCATTTATTTGAGTCATTTCAAACAATTCTGATAATAAGATTATTTTTTGATAAGTTAGTCTTCGAGTGTATACTCATAAATTAGAAATTATGGGTCTAGTGCCTTCTCAGAGGTTACAAACTATTTACCAAAAATCTTTCGAACAAAATAGGAACTTAACAGTTAAATCAATAATTTATCAGACTAGATTCAAATTCTCATGGTATTTTCTCAGTCAGGGTCAATCCGGACTATTTTTACCTCTCAAGGGTAACTTCATAAATTCTCATCTAGGTATTTTTGGTGTTTCAATTTTTAACAAGAGTAATCAAATTTTAAGGGTTATGAGGTTAAACGCTTCACTGGTTAATCACGAAACTTGGAATTGTTCCTTATAAATCTTTTAATTTCTAATACGAGCCATCAAAGTTTTATTCAATTACTTATTTTTTTACCGTAATCGAATCAATTTTAGAAATAAATAACTATACAGATGAGATGAAACATATTCGTCCATGCACTTAGCAATACCAACATATACTATAAAGCATGCATAGGGTAGTAAAGTATTACCTCGATTCTTGAGCTACACCGGTCGAACGTTCAAACTTTATTTGATCGCTTTCAAACTTGAATCCAATGTCCGATAATATCTCGAATACATATCAACAGAAATTACATCAGAAATGGAGTTTAATTGCGAAAAACATATTAAATCAGAAGGTTAATCAGTGAAAACAACTTACCATGTTCGAATTCAACAAAACAGACTTCGGATTCGAACTCAGAACGTAGAAAAACATAAAACATGACTTTTTTTTAAAAAAAATAACTTTTTAGTCAAAGTTAAAGTCAATGCGGGTCAAAGTTAAAGTCAACGGGTTGACTTAGTCGATTTGACTTAATGAGTTGACTTAGCTGAGTTGGATCAGCTTGACCCGATTTGGTCTGACTGGACCGATTACAAAAGGCTCCTGGACCGGTCGAGAAGCCCCATGCGCAATGTTGACGCGTGGTGACAGCAACGGAGGTCGCTGAGGATGTCGATCACTCCATAACCTATAACTTAGCATTCTAATTTAATTAACTCAAAATTAACCCAATATCTCGATGAAAAATTGAAAAGGAGGCGGCCGAAAGTCTTACCCACGACGAACGACGATGGCACGACAACAGGTGACCAAAACTCTTGGGTTTTGATTGCACGACGTCGTGGAAGCCAATAGGAGTGGCGATAAGATGAGACGACCCCCGGATCAGCCGAAAAACTAAGGCGATGGGTGGGTTTCGGTGAAGCTTTGCAATGAACTTTTACGACGAAACAATGCTGATTTTTGGAGCAAGGAAACTCGTGTTTTGGTTTGGAAATTGGGGATTTTAGGGTTTTAAATTTGGAAAAGGGGGATTGGTTTTGAGTCATAACTCGAGCCTTAAACGAATAAAACAAATTTTATTTATTTTTATCATTAATAATGTCCTAACCTAGATAGCTAAGGTATAGCTAGACATAACCCCAAGGGCGTGTTTGGTTCAAGTCATCTCACATTACCTGGGGAATGGAATGTCATTCTCCTGTTTGGTTGGCAAACATTCCCAGCCCCCTATAATCTTTTATTCCCAACAGTGGTATTTTGGGGGTATATTACCGGGAATGTGATTACCCCCTTCCCTTAGGTATTGTTGGATTACCGGCGTTTTGGACTAAAATGCCATTAAATGTTTTTCAAAAATATCCTTCTTATGTCGTTGAATAAAAAAAATTATACGAAGGTTAAATTACAAATTTATCCTTAAACTATTTTAGATTTACAAAAAAAGTTCATAATTAGAATTTTATATGAAGTTCAGGGGTTAAAATTAAATTTTACCCTTTCATTAAACCTATTTATCTTTTCAATTTTGTAAAAACAATTATATAAATTTTATTAATTTAAAATTTTAAAGAAAATATATAAATTAATTATAGTAGAATTCAACTTGTTAAAAAAACAAATATATAATAAGGACAATTTGGTAAAATATATATTCTAATAATCTTTTATTCCTTTAACTAAACATTGTAATCTTACATTCCTGCTAAACAACCCAAACACAAAATACAACATTCCCAGTAATCTTATTCCCGCCGGTAATCCTATTCTCGTTGGTAATCTTATATTCCGTGAACCAAACGCACCCTAAGGTCTTGGGTTCAAACCTTCCAAAACATATTTTTTTCCGGCTTAAAGAAATGGGTAAATTCAAGGTTGAGTCCCTGGATACTCTAAAAATTTAGAAAATACCATAAAATCTTGAGAATTTTACAGCTTGGTCCCTCAAAATTTTGCCTCAACTTCGGGGTGTGACATAAAATGTGTTGTTTGGTTATACAAATAATAATGTAAGAAAAAAATTTAATTATTATAAATAGTATATGAATTTTGACTTAGTTTATTATAATATAAAGTAATTAATATAAAATTAAAATTAAAATTAAAAAGATAAAAAATTAAAATAATAGATATTTAAAATAAATAATATTTATTATATTTCGTGTGAGTGGTTAAAATTATGAAGTGATATAAATTTTTTATTCATGTACTAGAACAAGAAGAATAAGTAAAATTTCAATCAAACATTGCTAATTTTTTTATTTTAAAATATTGAAGTTTATAGTTAAGTTTGAATTCAATATATATATATATATATATATAATTAAGCTATATTTAAAATAGAATTGATTATAACTTTTTTGTTAGACTTTCTCTTGTAGAAGATAGTTTGATTTCTGTTTTTTTTTTTAAATTTAGTTATTTATTTTTAGGATCGAGTTTAATTTAAAATTTTCTTATAAAAATTAAAAATTAAATGCAAGTAAAAACCATCAAATTAAGTTCATGTACAACCAACTCTATATTTAAATTTAATTTAAAACTTTCTTTTTATAATTACTGGTATTCGATTTATTGATTAACTATTCAGACCGGATATTACATAATAAAGAACGACCCTCCCAATTCAGTTTATTCCATTCACAAAATTTAAGATTCGAACCTCTAATATTGTTTAATAAATCTTGTGTTTCGTCCCACTAGGCAAATTGATTCCTGATTTAATTTGTTAAAACTTGATTCAACAATAATCAAGTTAAACTTAATTTAAAAAAAAAATAAAACTCGTAAAAATTCAATATATTTAAAATTAGTTAGGTGGTCGAATATAGTTGGAGCTCAACTTGATTATATTCAAACTTTTGAGTATGATTTTAAAATCGAAATCTTATTGATCAGACTTATTATTTAATCAAAAGATTAACATAAAATAAATTAGTGTGTATATATATATATATATATATAATTTCACGTTTTATAGATGACGTGTTTACAGGTGTCATGATTTGCTTAAGAATTAATTGTGGTTTGATTGAGAATTATTTGAAAACTTGTTATTTTTCTATAAAAAGATGTTAATTATTTTAAAGCTTGTTAGCATATAGTAATAGATAAAATAAATAAACTCATTTATGGTCCGTCACCTTTGAGCCAACAAAGAAATCTAAAAAAAAAAGGTGTTGGATTTAGATTAATATTTAAATATCGCATTTTTAAATCAAGCCTCTATCTTCTTTTTTTTGTTTGTAATAACATAATCACATTCTTCTCCCACTGTTCCTAAAGTATGAGTATACAATGCATATAAAAATATGACCCTCTAAATACATGAAAAGAATGCGACTGAATATATATGAATGGTGCTTGGAAAACAATGCGATTTCGTTTCCCCAGCTCTCAAGATAAATGGATAATAAGGAACTAAGGGAAGATATAGGGTTGACTATATGATATACACTAGTCGAGAAGCTTGTTACAGGTGCCGGCACCGACTGCTGCTGCCAGATGCCATGCAGAATGAAGGAAAGGCGTCCCGGGAAACATATCATCGGCGATGAAAAGAGCAGCCCCCAATAGAGATGACATCTTATGCACGTCATGAGCTTTCCTTAATTCTGGATCATTTACGGCTCTTTTAGCAAATGCTACCTGTAATGGATCAACGGGAGGTTTCAGTAAACCAACAGTTTCATCCCGCAAGCCAAGTTTAAGCAACTGTAATGTTAAAAATGCTTAGGAAATCACTCGTTCAGCTAACATCAAACTTATATTCTACGTTATTCGGGCTTTCCCCCCCTTAAAATATCCGTGTACAACAATTGTGTTCGATATAAGAACAGCTTCAGCCTAGAAGGTAAGAAAACAACTGTATTGTTAAAGTTAAACTGGAACAAGGATTGAGCAAACAGAGATTAGCTAACATCACAATTATAGTCTATGTTGCCTGGACTCTTCGTTAATTTTCTAAATATCTATGTCCCACACTTGTGTTTGGTATAAGAAAATCTTCAGCATAGAATTACAGTAAATCAAGTGTACTGTTTAAGCTGAACCAATGATCGGGCAACCGCAGGTTCACCTAACATCAAAATTCGAGTTTTTATCTTTTCTAAAATATCCATAATTGATACTTGTTTCCACACATAGTCAGACATGTCTTGGCTTGGCATTTGATCTGCTAAATATACAAACTATTAAAAGATTGTGCAAATCTGTTTTGATCCCACCCAATAAACTGCAATAAGCTATAAGGAAAAAATTGTAGGAACCGCAAGTTACCTCCATCATTCCAGTGTGAACAGCTGAAACCATCAGAGGCTGAACAGGTAGAAGAAAAGCCGAAGCTGCCATCAGTAACTTCGGGTTTTCATTCCGAATAGCTCTTGATAGACACTGCAATAACGATTTTCTGTTTTAAAATTTTGTAACTAAGAGAGCAATTTAAAATAGAAGTACAGCAACTATGTTACCATACTTGGGTGAAAGTGCCAAATCCGAGTATCTATTTGACACAAGCATCTTCATTTATTTATTTTTAAAGTTCTTTCATTTATTTGGAAGCTCATTTGAGGGTATGTCCTCGTACCCAAATAGCTCATTTGTGTATTATAGAGAATAGTTTCTCCAAGATGCATTGTGTTCTCAGACAAGTATAAAATGCAGCATAGTAACAACGCTTTAACATTAACTTTAATCTTTAACATCGTACAAGTCAATAGCCTGAGTTACTTGACTTGGATTCAGGCGTGAATGTCTAATGAGGGTGTTCATTTTTTTCCAAGATTTTTTATGCATTTTGAGGATCCTTGAAGATTGTATACCTATAATCGTGTCCGGACATGCATCGGACAGGGTACTTTAATGCATTTATTCCAATCAAATTATGAATCAGATTGAACTTACCAACATTACTTGGACTCGGGGGTAAGTGGTGGAAATGTGCATATGTCTAAATGGGAAAGTTCAATATTTTCTAAGTTTTTCCATGTCCTTGGAGAGTCGTTGGAGGATCATATCCTTACTCATGTTCGAAAATGTCCAACACTTGTGTCATAAGTACTAAGAAAAAATGAAGAGACGAAGCAACATAGGAACTTACCACAGTGGCAGTGGCTATCATTGTATAGTCGACCCACCTTAAGTATTTCCTCAGCTTTCCTCTGGAAGAATGGTACAAAGTAGAGGCAACTCCCACTCCAATTAGTGAATTAGCATACAGTGTAGTATTAAAATTTTTCCTGCATCCAAGTAAATAAAGGGTTAATAAGTTATGTAATTCGGACATGGGTGTGAATGTCAAATACGGGTATGTTTTACTTTTTCTAATTTTTCTTTTCATGTATTTGAAGTGTCTTTGGAATATCATATTATCATGCCCATGTTCGGGTATAGGTGTCAAACACAAGTGCTTAAGAAAAATGACGAGAAGGAGCAAATTAAATAGATTGATATCTTGTTTATGAAGAAAACTGAAGATGATACTACCTAGGGGCTTGGATCCCAAGAACTATGAAGGGGAGTGACGTCAACACATTTGCAACCGTCTCTACAAGATTATGGTCACCTGACAAAATGTTTAAAAAGATAAGCACTGACAAAGAATCTTATATAGGAAAATTGAGAGCAAAGATACACGCCCGCAAACTATGTTGCTTGGGCTTGACTGCTTGAGTATGAGAGGTGGATACGTCATGCGTCCAATAATGGGTATATTCAGTTTTATAAGTTTTACCATGTATTTGGAGGATCATATCTCCATAATCATGTTTGAAAACGAGTCAAACATGATTACTTCAAGGAAAATGAATGCATTAGTACTTTACCATACCTTGCGTACAGCATCTTATAGGCCTTAAACAAGCTGGTCTCTGCTGCCATACTCTGAAAAACATGTTTAAGCAACCATGTTACAGAGACCACAGGCAAAAAATAGTGTATTCACAAGACTTTCTACAAATAAATTGATAAGTTAGGATTTAAACAGATGGACACTCATTTAGCGTACTGTATCAATAGTGGTTGATTTGCTGTAATAAATGATTTATCATGACTGGATTGGAAGCTCCCCTGTTTATTATTCTCCTCCAACGCAGATTGTGAATGAGGAAACACTTGCACCCCATGCAAACCCTCTAAGGCTTTACTATGTCTCAATGCCGTCTGGGGACTCATGATCCTTGAAAGAATGCAAAAAATGTTTTAGCTGCCGGCAAGAGTTGCTGGCGATGGTTAGAAGAAGACTGTAAGACACTCCTTTTGTGCTTCACCTGTGCACAGAGAAGAAGACGGATTCTTCATTCTTCTTAAAGTACTCATTTCAAATCCCCAAGTCGTACACTTATCTAGGTATCGGTATAGGTAGATGACCCTACAACTAATAGAAAACGCTAGAAAAACACAACCACGTTAGATGCATATACGTATTCTACACTTGCACATAAGTCTAAGTAACATAGATATATGATAAATCATATTCAACAAAAGGAAGCAAGGATCAAGCTTCTAAAAAGCACTATTTCAAAGAATTAACAACGTCATAGGAGGTATAGTTTGATAGGTAATAGTTTATTGAACACCAAAGGGAGATTACTTAGAAAGATCATATTCATTGTATGGCTTTCATAGGGAACTAAAAGCAAACATTTGAAGAACAGTGTCAATCTATGCACCAACTACAACATTTAAAAGGTTCCAGCCAGAATACCAATCCAAACACCCAAATCCTCCAAATATATGAATAAATTTTAAACAATGAAATATGAATAAATTTTAAACAATGAACATATCATTGTCGGATGTGATGTCGGACACAGAGTACTAGTGACAGACTACTATAATATATTGCTTTAACCAGGGAAGGAAATTAGTATATATTTTAGGTATTTTCTTTCTATTTTCGCCCCTAGAATTTTATAAATTCGCCATCTCCTAAAGTTTTAAAACTTCACTCTTAGAATAATATCCTGTGCCCATCCCTCGCTTTAACCAATTTATGCATATGTTCTAGCCTGTGAAAAAACGCATCATAGACCATAAAATTATGCTATTCGATAACTTCAACACGATTTAAATAGCAATCCACTATAGGATTAGCGGCCGTTATATGACAGTAAAGGCTGCACAACAGTGATACCCGAAATGACCGCAAACAATATCACCCGCTTTTGCAGAATGCAATAAAACCGAAAACGTGACGGTCCCGCAATTTAAATATCAGCAGATAATTGAATCCAAACGTAGCGGTTTTATCCATTAAGAATATAGCAGCTTTGTAGAAAAGACGTTTGATTTCAAGTACTCTCAAAGAACTAGTTCTAGATAGTAAATCGAAAACTTCGGCCAATTAAACTCAGCATTATTATCAGTCGAGCAAAACCAAATCTTAAAAACAAACATAAACATTCAAAATCGCATCCTTAATTTCCCAGGAAATCCCAAGCATCAAAATCCAGAACTGGGTTCCCTAGATACAAGCAAATGAAGAAACCCCACATCGAGAAACTGGAAAATAAGAGCATTTTGGAGAATGAAAAAACAAACAAATATATGCATGTATGTATGTATGTATGTATGTATGGAAGTACCTGGGAAGATGTGAAGGAATGAAGAGGCAGCCGAGGAGTTAAAATTTGATCTTTCTTTCAGTTGGGGGGCGGGGGGCAGGATAGTTTTCACTAAGAAAAAAATAGGACGAGGAAGATGAAGAATACGCGCAAAGAGTCAGGAAGAGTGTCTGGATATTCCACTTTACCTAATCAATATTCGCCACCTATACGCCAGTACATTCGATAATTTTGCACCATTTATAGAGTTTTGATATTAAAACTGCTTTAATTGACTGAAACGATTTTTCTTTTCCAATTCGGACAACGAAAGAGATTTTAGTAAATAAAACTCGATTATTCGTTAATTTAATTTGTTTCTACAGAGATTGTTTTCCTTCTCCATTCCGCCGAAAGGGATTTTATATAAAAGATATTGATTATGAGTTTAATTAATTATGATTCTCAGTGAAGTGCTTGGTCAGCCAACTTTGTTTTTAAAGAGATTTAATTTTTTTTAAAAAAATTAAATATGTTATTAATTGAATTTGACTTTGTAATTACTTAATAACTCACCAATTTTTTTATAGGAAGTTAAACTCTATAAAAAGGTTGTGTTAATTTTAATTTATTTATTATGTTTAAAAATTAATTTTAATACATTTTAATTATAAAGTTATAAGAACCAAGTAATTAAGAAATTTATTGTCATATTTTTATGGTCTTAAATTCGAACACCTCCCTGTCCTTTTATGGTGACCCTGTTCATGTCTCTTCGTCTAAAATAATGACGTGTTTGTTTCAATTAACTGTTCTAAACCTTATTTTAGTATAAAAAAGATTTATTGTTTTTCCCAATTTCGATTACATTCAAATTAAAATTAAAAAAATGTTTTATCTTTTATTAATAATTTTTAATACTACCAATTAACATATTATATTTATATTAATAAGAATTGATTTAAAACCTTTTTACTTTTAATTTATTTTAATTAGTTTTAATATTAAAATAAAAATAAAAATATAATATCATATATCATTATAATATAATTGAGTATATTATTCTAATACTAAAAAGTATAATGTTATATTCTTAAAATTATTAATAAATATATTTTAATAATTATTTTTTATTAAATTGATACGAAAATATCAATATTAAATATATAAAATAATATCATTTTGAATATTTATGTTTTAAAGTGAAAAAATCATAAAACTACTTATGAAAAATCAGATCGTAAATTATTTTCTAGAAAATATAGAAGAAATTCTTTTGGCCATGAAAAAAAAATATCACTTCTTATTAGACTTAATATATAAAACAATGTCTAAACTATATCTCTTTTCTCATTATGTGCCTAAATTCTTTTCAATGAATTTAGGTGTTTAACGTTTTTAATGTTATCATTTAGATGCCTCAATCGTAACAAACATTAAAAAATTCTGTCACCACTTAAAATGCAACACATAACATGTTTATAGATTTTTAAAAATATATTTAAATATATTTAAAATTATTGTTATTTTTAAAAAAACCAAAATGTTTTTGAAATCTCAAAAAGAAAAATCCCAAAGTATCCACCCCACCTATTGGTCATCCACCATTGATGTCGCCCTCACTGGTTGCCTACCCACTCGTCGTCGCCTACCCACCCATCGCTGGCGGTCAATCATAGCTTCAAATTGTCTAAATCCCTAAATCCAAAAACTAAATTCCTAAATCATAACACACATCCATCCAAATCGTCAGATAAGTGATCAGTGGTTGGGCAACGAGCTGGGGGTCTACGAGTGAGTTGGCAATCACCAGTGGTGGTAGTGATCGTTGTCGAAATTGAAGGTCTTGGGGTATTTTATGAAAAATAGAAAAAATAAGTTTTTTTAATTATGATTTTGTTTTTAAAAAATTAAGGAAATAAAAAATATGTCATGTGCCAAATACTGATTAACTGATTTTTAACGAGAATTACGGTGTAAATTCTAAATGATAACATTAAAAAATATTAGACACCTAAATTGATAGAAAAAACATTTAGAAACTTAATAGAAAAATGTATAATTTAAGTAATTATTTTATATTAAACCTTTTTATTAAATTCTAAATAATAAACTTTTTTTACATTAAACAAACAAGGTCTAACACAATTAATTAAAATAAACACTTACTAATATTTTAGATGAAGAGGTAGGGATAGGGGGATTGTCTCATGAAAGACAGATTAATATACGGTTAATATATGTCGTTACCGATACATTAAAAGATATTTGATAAATTCGGTTTAGCGCTACCAGAAATATCGAGTAATAATAATGTAATATGTGGAAATCATGAAGAAATATTAAAAACTTTGGCAACCGGTAAACTTAGCTTGTCTGTTTGTGTCGATACTTTATAAAAATGTATCGATCCATAACAATATAACAAGTAAAAAAAATGAAAAAACCGATATATAAATGACAAAACCAATAAAGCGCTACCGGATATGTTGAAAGTGTCAATACATTAATATAAGTTTCGACACCTTTAGAATTTAAAAAAGGAGCAGTTATAGCGCCTATAAAGTGTCGATACTTTACAAAAATGTATCGATCTATTACAATATAAAAGGTAAAAAAATGACAAAACCGGTCTATAAATGACGAAACCGGTAAAGCATTACCGGATATGTTAAAGTGTCGATACATTAATATAAGTATCGACACCTTTGGAATTTAAAAGAGGAGCAGTAATGGCGCTTATAAAGTGTCGATACTTTATAAAAATGTATCGATCCATAACAATATAACAAGTAAAAAAATGACGAAACCGGTCTATAAATGACAAAACCGGTAAAGCGCTACCGGATATGTTGAAAGTGTCGATACATTAATATAAGTATCGACACTTTTGGAATTTAAAAGAGGAGCTGTAATAGCACCTATAAAGTGTCGATACTTTATAAAAATGTATCGATCCATAACAATATAACAGGTAAAAAATGACAAAACCGGTCTATAAATGAAAAAACCAGTAAAGCGCTACCAGATATATTGAAAGTGTCGATACATTATTAAGTAGGCGTAATAAATTATCGATACTTTCAAAGAAATAGGTAAATAGCTTATCGAAAGTATCGACACCTGACATAAAAGTATCGACACTTGAGTAATTGTATCAATTAAATATAAATAACATATCCAGTGTAAATATAAAGGGCATAGCTAAATCTTCTCTGAAAATAGATAGAACACGAACGAGTATTTGAAATCGAAGCGTAATTGTTGCTGCATTTCAGAAGGCATTTTTAAAGAGAAGTTTGTTTGTTTGTTGCTGCAGTCGAATCGAAAAGTACGTTGTTGAAACCCTAGTTTTTTATATTACAGTAATCGAAAATAGGGTTTTTATGTGTTGTTTAGGGTTTTCGAAGTAAAGAAGCACTTGAGACCGATTACATGTAGAAAGTGATATTCTAGGTAGATGATAAATATCGATACTTTTATTTAATTTTATAGGTAGAAAATGATATTATAGGTTGTATAAATGTGCCGATACTTGGAGTATTGAGTGTTCATATTCGTTTGAAGGAAATAGGGATTAGGGTTTTTGGGTTTAGTTTGGGGATTTCGAATCGAAGCCAAGAAGGATTTGGGACCGATTATATAATATTATAGGTAGAAAATAAATATGGATACATGTATATAATATTATAGGTAGAAAATGATATTTTAGGTTGTATAAATGTACCGACACATTTTGTAGTGGCCATTCAAATTCTTTTGAATAAAATCATTTTACCACAAGAGTAGTTATCTATATTTGTATATTGAATAAAGTGTATGTAACAAGTATTTGATTTGATTTGCGTAAGCTGATATATGAAAGAAAAATGAAGTCAATGGGTGGAAAAATTGTTGGTGGCGCAGATGACTTTGAAATTGAGGCCGAGACTCGAAAGCAACCAAAGGGTGGATATATGTACTTCTAGTAAGTATCAATGTATTTTTGTTATTATTGTTGAAATGGTAATTGGATTAAAGTATTTAAGAACTTTAAATTGATTACAAATTTTAAATGTTGACATTATGGTCGAATGCCAAAGGATGAAAGAAGATGGCACACACATCGGTTCGGTATGTAAAATGAAATTGACATTGAGTATTATTTAGTGTCAATGTATTGATTAAGAAATATTTATGCTTAATATTAGGTGAAAAATGATGTGCTGGCGAATTGGAATTTGATGAGTGATGCTGAAAAAGGAACCTTACATCACACAGTCAAGGAATGATAGTAAAGAATACAAAGAACGGAGGAAAGCACATGAAAAAAGGTATTCATTAAACTTGTAAATATGTTGATACAAGATATATAAGAACAATAACATTATATATTGTTAAAAAATGTAGGAAGTGTCGACAAGGTGCAGTATAAAAAGGGTAAATTCATTAATTGAACACCTTAAAGAGAAGGATCAGTTGAATGTGCTTAGGGAAATGGGGTTTGGATCATTGATAGGAGTAGGGGATCGACCAATTCGAAGGGAATTGTGTCGATCCTTGATGGAGTAATTTGATGTCAAACAATGTATTGCTAAATATGGTGATTATTCATTCCCTCTGGGGGTATCGACTGTTGTAGCCGTCTTGGGGGTACGAAACGAAGGCAAAAGTGTTATAGAAGTCTGTAAGAGTAAGAACTGGAAAGCACTTGCCTCCAAATATGGTTTGAAGCAGAAGGTGACATATATTGAAGTTGAAGAGGATATCAAAAGTGGATATTACCCGGGGGATGACCTGAAGGTCCGAGTTCTATTGTACCTTGTCGGGATATTTCTTTGTCCAACGGGTGATACGTCAACGAAAAAGGACAATATGAAGCTCATTTGTGATTAAGGCTTGAAGGGTGAATTTAATTGGGCTGAATATGTCCATTCGAGATTGATTGAATCAATAATCACCTTTCAAAAGAGCAGCCAGAGATACGTCAAAGAGTGCATAACAATCTTAAAGGTAACTCAGTTATTATATAAAATGATAAATTTTATTATAAATGCAGATTGCATTGTTCGATTTTTGGTCGGGCTGTGATAGTTTGCCGGCTTATGAAAGAAACGGAGTGGTACGTACCATGCATGGGGAAAGGAAGAGGTGGTTAGAGTGATGGGGAAGTTGAAATTGGATAGACCGAGGAAGTTAGAAATGGTAATAAATGTAATTAAATAATAT